CCACCCCCAACCCTCACAGCGCATTCGAGGTTTTTCTCCATGAGGTTAGGCTAGCCGATGGCTCAGCTTGCGTGCCGGACTACGTCATGGCCAGAAATAGCAACTCGAGTTACTGACTCCTGCCTCACACGTGGCCACTCCGCACGCGAGTCCGCTCTCACTCTCTTCCTCTATTTATCTATCTATGTAACCCACTCCCCTCACTACCCCCCCCTTTTCTCTGTATGTCTGTCTGTCATTTATACATGTATAAACCATACAGTCGGAATTGTCCACGACGGCCACCCATTATTCGGTCGAACCGGCTCAAACGACCCCCTGTCCAAGACAATCGCCTGTACAAACGACTACATCCGACCTCCCACCTTGCTTCTTATTATTATAACGACACTGGCCAAGACATCCCTCGTGTTCTACTTGACAACGTTATATAAAATGTAATTGCACGTAGTGGCAAGACTACCTACAGCTTAGGGCGTAGACCATTATGTATCGTTTTCGACCGCCATTGCAGTTGCGACTAACTGACAGCCTTGCTGTCGCTGCTTCTTAAGAATAAATCTGCTATATGACAGTAAAATGTAAATAAATTGATTACTCATTATTGATCCCGTGGGGAATTTGTTTTACAGTGGGTTAAATAAGCACACAAATACATCAATAAATAAATACATATGCACAGTATCTCAAAGATAACCCACACACCTTTGCTGGATGCTACTATGCAACGCCTTATGTTTGAGCTTAGGTTTTCGTGTCTTGTTTAAGGACCCACCCAAGTGACCTCACACCTGAACGCAGTGTGTCAGCAGCACAAACTTAACCTTGTGAGCCTGAGCACGCTAACCAGCTCTAGACCTATGCTAAGGAGTGACGCTGAAAAGTGGAACTGGAAAGCAGTGGCTCAGTTTTTGAGTATTTTATACAACGATACATATCGATCGACACCTACAACTACAACTTTATAAAATCTTGTAATCAAAATAATGAAAGTCCGGCCACGTTGTGTTCTTGAGAATACTCAGCGCTACCTGCGCTTGAAGTTTGAGGGCTGAAGAGTGTCTGGTTTCTTCGAAAAGGTGACTCAAGTGTCGGTACCATCAGCATTTTAGACAGACAGACAGACAGACAGACAGTCCCTCACACACACACACACACTCTCACACACACTTTGTCTTCGCTGTTCTATTCATACCTCTAAAGTGTTGTATATATACGAAAAATCTAATAAGCCTTTGAAACCGTAAGGGATTGGATCGCTTGAAAATATACCCAATTGTCGTATATGAAGTCCCAACTTTTGATATTTATTGAACATGAGAATTCATTTCTTTTACAAAGCGTCTTGGTCAAAATGTTTATGACGATACGAAGCACCAGCAGTAAGTCAGGTGTACGCATTGGGTGAGGATTCGTGTTTGCTTTTACCGGTGCAGCTGTGAACCAATACTGAGCATATTATTTTAAAAAGTGGAATAGAAAACCATATGCCTCGATTCTATAATATTTTTGTAACGATACATAGCCATCGAAATGTACAATTTTAATAAAATCTTCAGTTGAAAATCCTGAAAATCTGGCTCCGTCATGCTCTTAGGAATATTGAACGCTTCCTTCGATAAAACTTTGAGGTTTAAATAAGTGGCGAAAAGAATGGACCACCGGAAGTATATAATGATATATTACAGATGATGCAATGTGTGTGTGTGTGTGTGTGTGTGTGTGTGTGTGTGTGTGTGTGTGTGTGTGCATGAGATATATATTTATATAATATGTCCATAAACATATAGCAGTGCATACACAAACACTGACAAACAGCCAGTCATAGCTGCTAATTCCCCATTAAGTGAAATTGACAATATATTTTAATCATACGATAGTGCAGTATTGCTCATCATAATGACACTGTGCTTTGACCAATAACGCCTGCCCTTTAATGTTCACATTTAATGCCCTACTTCCCCCCCCC